CAAACCGGTCTTGAGATGCTCTTTCTCCAACTTAAGATTCTTGTTTTCTTCTCTAAGTTCATCATGGTTCTTCTCCATCTTGAGTCTCTTGTTCTCTTCTCTAAGCATCTCATTCTTAGGAGCCATATCATGATTATTGTCAAGATTCTCTATCACAATTGTGTTGGTTGTTGATAGCTTTTCAAGATCCTTCTTGAGCTTTTCATTTTCATTCTTGAGCTTGACATAATCATCATAGTTGTCGGATTCAACCACTTTCTTGCCTTTGCTACTAGAACCTTGCTCAATGCTCTCAACAATCAAGTCATCACATGATGTGGCTATATCAATCTTAACAACATTGTTAGTAGCATCATGCAGCTCATTGGACAATAACTCATGAGAAAAACAAGATTATCATGATTAATCTTGAGATTGGTGTACTCTTCTTTTAGCAAGTTGTAACTAGTGGTGAGCTCATTATGTATCTCCTCAAGTTTATTATGTTTTTCTCTAAGCTCCCTTTTAGAGGTTTTGAGCTCCTTAAGTTTGGATGACACAATTTTATTCCCTTCTAAGCTCATCATTAGCTTTTTCGGCTATGTCATACTTTGCTAAGAGTGAGTCATTCCCAAGTTCTAGCTTCTCCTTTTAGCTCATCTTTCTAATGATTTTAGTGTATTGGTTTAATAATTTGACAAGATCATCATAAGAAGGTGATTTAAATTCTTCATCACTATCACTACCATTCTCATCATCACTAGCATTGTCATCACCACTACTATCATCATCTTTTTGTACCCTTCGTTCACCCTTGGCCATGAGGCATAGGTGTGTAGAGGATAATGACAGTGGTGTCGATGGAGATAGTGAAGAGCCAATCACAAGAGCGGCCACCTTCTCCTTCTCCTTTTCACTTTCATCATTGGATGATCCACTTGATGATTCAATGTCCATGAGCCAATCACCAATAATATAGGCCTTGCCATCTTTCTTCTTGTATGGCTTGTTCTTCTTCTTCTCATTATCGTCATCATTCTTGCCCTTGTACATTTTCTTGTACTTGTCTTTCTTGGGTTTGGGGCATTGATGGGCTAGATGACCAAGATCTCCACAATTGTAGCAATCCATTTTGGAGATGGGCTTCCTTCTACTACTAGTGAAGAATTTCTCATTCTTGCCATCAAACTTGACACCATTCTTGTTTAGCTTCTGGAGCATCTTAGCGGTTCTTCTCACCATGAGGGTAAGGCTTGCATCATCAATCTCATCATCACTTGAGCTATCATGATCAACTTTTGCTTTGCTCCTCTTCTCTTGGCTAGCCTTGAATGCCAAATCTTTCTTCTTGGTGGAAGAAGAGCCATCTTGTGGAGTGATGTGCATGTACATCTCATGTGCATTGATCTTCCCCAATATTTGAGTTGGCGTAGTGGTGGAAAGATCACCTTGATGAAGCACCATCACAATATGCCCATACTTTTCAATGGGGAGGACACTCAAGATCTTTTTCACAACATCGGATGGTTGCATTTGAGTGAGTCCAAGCCCATTGACCTCCTCTACAAGAACATTTAAGCATGAATACATTTCATTAACACTTTCACTAGGAAGCATTTCAAATGAATTAAGTTTCTTCATCACAAGGTGATAGCGTTCCTCACGCTCACTCTTGGTTCCCTCATGGAGCGCACAAATGTCCGACCATAGTTGATGGACGTCTTTGTGGTTTTGCACATAGTTAAAGACATCCTTGCAAAGGCCTCTAAAAAGGGTTTTTAGCCTTTGCATTCAACTTCTCATAGTGAATCTCATCACCTTGAAGGTTAACGGGATCTCTAGGTGTCAGGAAACCTTGTGAGGTGGCTCTAAAACTCCAACATCTAGAGCCTCTAGGTACGCCTCCATGCGAATTTCCCAATAAGGAAAGTCATCTCCCTCAAAGACGAGAGGGGGTCCATCCCCGTGGGACATCTTGCACTAGGCGGTTAATCCTAATTCAAGGAGCGCGAGGCTCCAATACCAATTGAAAGGATCAAGATGCCCAAGAGGTGGGGTGAATTGGGCTTATTCTAAATTTTTTGCAATAATAAAGCTCTACACTTAGCCCATTTCACCCTCTTGTGCCTAGAAGTGTTTCTATTGTTCTACCGCACAAAAGTTTTGCACACTAGGTTCCAATCCTACTCTAGCTTGGCAATTCTAAGAATGTAAAGACATAAATTGAATTGCTAAAATGTAAATGCTCAAAGTAAAGAGAAGGAGAGGAATGCGGTGATGTTTTTCTGAGGTATTGGAGAGTCGCCACTCCCCACTAGTCTTCGTTGGAGCATCCGCGCAAGGGTGTAGCTCCCCCTTGATCCGCGCAAGGATCAAGTGCTCTCTACGGGCTGATTCTTCGATACTTCATCGTGGTGAATCATCCACAACCGCTCACAACATGACTTGGGTCATCCACAAGCTCCGCTGGATGATCACCAAGCTTACAATCACCACCGAGCCGTCTAGGTGATGGCGACCACCAAGAGTAACATGCACAAACTCTCACTTGACCAAGATAAGCCTAATGAGAAAGGTGGATGCACACTTGCTACTCTCTATGCACAAATGAGGTCCTTAATCTTGGATTATCAAATCTCAATCACCCCACTAGGCTCTTGCACTCCAAAGGTGTTTCTCAGCTAAACAAATGGGCAAGAGAGCTAAGTTGGGCGAGTGGGGGAAGTATTTATACTCCCCACTTCAAAACATACCCATTGGGGTCCAACTCAGCACATTTCGAGGTGACCGGACTCTCAGGTCAAAGTGACCGGACGCATCAGGTCAATAGCCAATGGCTACATGATGCTAGCACAGCCATCAGAGACCAGACTCTGACTAGCGTCCGACCACCACTCATCTGACACGTCCGGTCAGCAATTTCCTTCTCTAGATGCTTACTGTTGTTGACCGGACGCGGCCTCTAGTGTGTCAGGTCACAGCGTCCGGTCCTTCATGAGTGTTGCTTGCTCTACAGTTGCGCACACCTGTGCATTCGATCTTGACTAGGAATCAGCGTCCGGTCGATGAGCAAGCCCTAGCTACGTGAGCTAACGCTGACCGGACGTGGCACCTGTGTGTCCGGTCATCATCCAAGTCTCTATTCAACTCAAATTCTACCAACTTTGTGAATGGCATCAACTTCAACTGATCTATGGGCTGTCCTTGAGCTACGTAGTGCTAAGTTTGACTATTGTGCACCACACCTAAACCATCAGATTCACCTCGGTCAAGCTACTAGTTCATACCCCCCTTAATAGTATGGCCAAAAGAAAAAGAAAGTCCTAAACTACTTTAAGTGTCTCTCCAACGTCAAACGACACTTAGAACTAGTCCGTCTTTAACCTTGTCGTCCATCCTTTGAAAACCGAAATGATTTCCATCGACAGGGGCATGAAAACCATAATTGCTCAATCAATCACCATTACCATGACCTAACTCAAGTTGCCTCTGCAAAACTCACATTAGTCACAGTAATCTTGTGTCATCATTAATCATCGAAACCAAACTAGGGGCTTAGATGCTTTCATATGTCACTGGGGAGATGCAGTTGTGGTTGCAACTTGGGGGTCGTCTATGCTTACGTTTGAGTTTGGTAACAAGAACAAAGTAAGTGCATAGTTTATCTCTTGAGCATTGTATTTCCATGTCCGCATGTACTAATCTATCATCGTTTGTAGTGTAGACACTGCACTTGTGATTTTATGGAGTGGCTCTATGGTCCTATGTCTCATTGGTCAGAGGCAAAGGCAAAGGAGAAAGAGAGGATAATCATCCCAGCCCCACCAGTGATGTGCAAATGTGGCATTGAAGCCCACTACGGCCTAGTTCCTTTTGACCGTGGAATAGTAGGCCATTGGTGCAGCCATATGGTTGATTATGATGAGGTTGGTTATTTTTTTGGAAAACTTAAAATGGAATTTACTACACGTAATGGCTTATATTTTTTGTTTGAACAAAGCACTAGAAAATGTAAATGAGAGTCTTATGATGGTAGAGATGAATTTCGGGACACAATAAAGGCAAAGCAAGTAATGGGATGGAAGATAGGGTGTGAATCTCAGCTCGTTGATGTCTTCGCTAAGCAACACATACATGAGATGCGTAAGAAAGCAAGAGAAAGGGGTCTACTTCACCCTATACATCTAGGTACAAATGAGTGGTATGTTCGGGAGCATAAAAGGCGGTTGGCTGCCAAGAAGAAGGTAGAGGAGGAGGGGGCAAAGGAGGCGGAAAAAGTGCAGATGCAGGTCATTGAAGACCTTGTTGCTGGATTGCCTAGGTTTCCTAGTGAGTGCTTCGACTATCTTTTTTGTTTTGGTAGCATGTTTATATTTCTATTTGCGTTGCTAACTTATTGTATTTGTCCTTGCAGGGACAGAATGCAGTGAGGAGCATGCCGCTAAGGTAGCACATGCAAGGTTACAAAAAAGGTAGGCAAAGGAGCAGAAAAAGAGAGGTGCTCGCCCCGTGCTATCTCAGATCGTGGAAGGCGATGAGGGTGGCAAGGATGAGGAGGACTATCCTAGATTGAGCGAACTCATCACTCTAGCGGAAGCGGGCTTGTTAGCACGACCAGCAAGCGGAGGATCTGTTCTTGTCTCAGGCCGCAGATGAAGCAGAGCCTATCTATGATAAGACGTGACCTATACCTGGCAGAGCCAATATAGGAGATGCATACAGTTAAGCCACATCTCTAATTAGTTATTAGAGACATGCACTAGTGGTCCATCTCTGATGTAGCGTCTTCTTCACATGTTTCTAGCATAGCACGGGAGTTCTGTGTTCTCAAGTGGGGAGGGGAGTCCACTCATGAGCTGACAACTCATTCCACAAGTCGTTTTCCACACCTCACATATGGAAGAGCTAATGCAGTGTAAAATCATCGCTTTATTATGATTTTTTTTTTGAAACCGTAGTACACACATGCATGGGCCGTTGCCGTCTTTTATTCATTCATTTATTCATCAATCAACATACATTCATCCATATCCGTAGTCAGGCTGCTGAAGTTGAATCATGTAGAGAGAACGAATTAAGAAGTAGCCACAGACAGAGTCCGGCCCGTATGCCCGTATACGTAGCTAGTTGTGGCAGCAACCGGCGTCCATTATAGACAGGGCAGCAAAAGCGGCGAGTACCTCCGGAACTGCAAATTAAAGCCAGGGTGAAAAAAAATGAAGAAAAAAAACAGCGATTGATTAATTATTCTTTCCAATGAAAGGTGAAACCATACGTACCTATCTAGAGTATCTATCAGAAGTGTTAGTAAAGAAATGATAAATAAAATGAAAAGAGAAAAAATTACACGAGAAAAAAAGAAAATATATAAATATAAAAAAGGAAAGAAAAAAAGATACACATTATACAAACCTGCGAGTGAACACAGGAAACAAAAAAAATAAAGAAACAAATAGAGTAAAAGTAAAGATAAATAAAAGAGAGATGGAAAAAGGAAATATAAGAAACGTACCTTGGTTCCCCGACGCGCTTGCACCACTGGGTCCCAGACGCCTGCGGCTTCGCAATTTGTTATTGGGCCGAGGGGAAAAGTAAGAGAAACAGCCCAATCGTAAGCAAACTGCACGCTCGTGAGAAGGGGGGGTCGGCGCACAGACTGGTCGGCAGCGAAGATTTCTGTACGGATCGGACAGGATCAGATATGGTGCACACAGCCATAGAATCAAATAAAGATATATGCTCCCTCCGTCCTAAATATAAGTGATTCCAAGAATCTTAACGAGTCAAAGTATTTCAAGTTTGACAAAAATTATAGAGAGAATTATAAAGATTTTTATCTTCAAATAGATATATTATGAAAATATAATTGATGAAGAAATTTAGTTAAATTTGGGATGTTTTGACTCTCTAAATTCTTTGGAATGATTTCTAATTAAGGACGGAGGGTATACGAGCACAGAGTGGATTCACGTACCGTGGGCAGCCATGAAAATAAGCAGCAGGACCATGGCCCAGATGAAGAGCGCAAGGATCGTCCTCTTGCCGGCCATGTCGTACGTGGTCTCGACCGCTCAGATGAAGAGCGCGCGCCTCAGCTATCGATATGATTATGACCTGCCGCTGATATATCCACCTCTAGCCTGTGCCTTTTTACATATATAGGCAGCCGATCATGGCGCCATGCATTAATAAGGTATATACGTTTGCTTGGTAGAACCAATGCGAGCCAGGGCTTGCTTATTGATAGCTCCAATCCAATGCCAGGCAGAGCTTCCTTGAAACATACCCGAACGTACCAAGCGTGTACCCCAATGCATGGCGAGTTGGCGACAGCCGTGGTCGATCGCTTCATTGCATTGGCTTTACTGTCCTGGCCAGACACATCATTCTAGTGGTTACCGGACACACATCATTCTAATTCTAGCGGTTGCCGAACAGATTAGCTTCTTTCTTTTTCTTTTTCTTTTTTGAGAGGAGATTAGCGGCATTTTTTACGTATATCATGTATATATACTACATATATTCAGTATTTTCTACACATTTTAGGTATGGCGGTCACGAAAGCTAGCCAGATAGCTGGCTCCGCCAATGATTATTTTGGTGAGCCAACTTTGGCTGCTATCCTCGGCCCTGTTCGCTTCTCTAATAATCCGTAGTTTTCAGCTTGTTTTTTCAGTCGGAACAATATTTTTCTCTCACAACAAATCAGCCGGAACAGTGTTTCGGCTTGTTTTTTCAACGAAGCGAACGGGGCCTTCAATTCTACGTTAAAGTTTTTTTTAGAGAGTAACACTACTGCATTAGGATCACGTTTTCTTCTCCTTATTATTGAAGGAGTACCACGCCCCACTTCCCCACGTCGCTCCCGGGGAGTGGCTCGGGCGGAACCCGACACCCCCACCAAAGACCTCCGTCAGCCCCTTCGTCTGCCTCGCCGCCGCTCGAGCGCGCTGCCCGGGACCGTGCGGCCGCAAGGACAACGGCGGCAGGGCCCTTTCCCCATCCCCTTTCTCTCCCCCCGGTCTCCCTCTCCTCTCCTCGACGTTGGACGAGCGGCGGCCGGACCTCCATGGCCGGTTGTTTCGCGCTCTGGTGGCCGGATCCGCACGTGGTGGGGCCAGATCTGGTGCGCCCGGCCTCTGGCGTGGGGCTGGGCTCTGGATTCCGGTGTGCTGGTGCGCCGGCCATGGCGAGCAGGGGCGATGCGGCCAGCGCTGTCCCCTACGGATGCAGCAGCGACGACGACAGTGACTACCTGCGGATGTGCGACACGGGTCTGGCGGAGGATGCTGGAGATCTCGCGGCGTGGTTGATGCGGGCCGGCTCGACTGGGGTGGGGACGTTGGTGGGCTGGGCGACCGGGGCTTCTTCTGATCCCGGTTGTCTTCTCCCCATCATCTACCTTGCCCTTCCTTGGGCTGGATTCCGTAGCGAAGCTGGCCGGATCTGCTTGCTGTCGTCCACCTTTGTCGGTTCTGGCGGGGGGCGGACTCTTCAACGGGCTTCTCTTGGCGCTTCTCCCGGTCAGCGTCTTTAGGGATGGTGGCCAGGCGGGGCTACTGCTGATCCTTCGCTGCACCCTGCGTCCCCCGACGGCGACGGTATGGAGGTTGCTCAAGGTCGGGGCAAAAGCTTGGACGACGACGTTTGTTGATACCTTTCCCTTCTTGGAGGCGTTCTTTCCTATCTATCCTCCTATCGTATTGGATATTGTAGGTGAAAACCTTCCCTTGCGAGCTACCTTGTCGGCGCTTTTAGCGTCATTTCCTCCTTGGAGGCATTGCTAGGCTTTCCAGTTCCGTGGTTGCTCCTTATCATCTGGCCATGGTGGTGTCCCAAGCTGTGTTGTTTGATGTCGTCCGGCAGGTCGTCAAGTTTCTTCTATCCTTGGTAGTTGTTAGTTAAGTTGTTTAGTTGGGTCTATTTGACCAAGTTGGAGCAAGTAGTGGTGTGAGTTAGATGTTGTACTAAAGTTGTATAGGATGAGTGGAACACTCTCCTCAGTTGTATGGTTTTTGGGCTCAGTTTCCATTCAAAAAATTAGGCGGGCACTTGCCTCTTTTTTTCTTTCTTCGTCTAATAGAAATCACGGCAAAACTTTTGCCGTCCTTTCTCAATAAAAAAACACTACTACGGCATTCTTTTCTGATGCGGTTGAAATGGGTTTTCAGAGGCGAGCAAAGTGTCCGCCTCTATCGAAAGGTCTACGCTAATGCATACTTACGGAGGCGGGTGCTTTGCCCACCTCCGTTAATCCATTAATGCAGGTGATCGCCTACGTTAATGTATATTAACGGCAGGCGCCTTACAACTCTTTCCTCCGTTAATTGATTAACTGAGGCGGGCCTTAAGGTGCCCACCTCCGTTAAAGGGTTAACGGAGGAGGGCCGTTCTTATTCACTAGCCTCCATTAATGATTTTCCAGTTAAAAAAATAGTTTCCCACCATTTGATTTGAATTTGAATTTTGTTTTCGCGATTTAAACACAGACAATATATACTAAGAACGCAAAAAATACGCATGCCGAAAACAAACATATATATACATATACCACCACTAGTAGAGAACCTAGCTGTAGTCCCGGTTCTCAACCCCCTTTAATCCCGGTTTTGGAACTGGGACTATGCAATTGGGACTAAAGGTCTTGATTTTTAGTCCCGGTTCCTCCAACCGGGAGTAGAGGTGTTTATTGGGTAAAAAAAAAGTTGCAGCTGTGGAGATTCGAACCTACGACCTCCCACTTCAGCTCTTGCACGCGTTACCATCTCACCTACCACCACACATCTAACTTAGATAAGATACACTTTCCTTTTAAATTCAGTTTAGAGACACCTTTAGTCCGGGTTTGAGACATAAATCGGGACTAAAGGTACCTTTAGTCCAGGTTCGTGTCTCAAACCGGGACTAAAGATTCTCGCACTGACGTGCCTCTGACACACCTCGGTAACCGTTACAACCGGGACTAAAGGGTAGAATTAGTCCCAGTTTGTATTACAAACCGAGACTAAAGGTGCAGTCCTCCCTTTAGCCACGGTTGCAATTTTTAAACCGGGACTAAAATACTTTTTAGCCATGGATGAAAGGCCGTTTCTCTACTAGTGCACATTCCTTTGTGTCTTATCCTTATCTTAGCGCGAACCAACGTTCAAGTTACATGTTTTATATATATACATATGAAACTAAAATGTCCGCTATTTTCTAATTAAAGATCTCCAGCATCCTGTAATCCTATAAGCGTAGCTTGCTGGTCTAGTTTTTTATCTTCTCGTACTTCTCATCATACGCTAAATCGCTCTCTCCTCGTTGAAGAACTTTCCCCCAACATGAACGCATTTGTACAAGATGAATTCACATATGTCTGCTACAGTTTGAGCTATATTCTTATGGGTGACCCCTTGCTTTTCACACTATTCTTGTGCTTTCTTGAGCTGCTTGTAGCTAATACTGAATTTGTCGTACGCTCTGAGCTACTCGCAAACGTAGTATCCACATAATAGTGACCCAAAAAATTGTTTAGAGCACTGCACGGTATATAATACATAATCGATTACAACATTAGAGAGCATGCATGATATAATAGCACATATGACTTTTGATACGTTCTGGAAAGTTGCGACTGATAGATATTGGCGTGCCATGCCTCTTCTTCTTCTCACTTCTCAGATTGTGGGATTTGGGATCCTCCGAGTACATCCAGTAAGCGATTAACGAAAACCACGGGAGTCAAAGACAAAATTTAAACACGTATGTTAAATGATAAAAAGAATAAGTACCGCCACTTACAATCTCAATGCACTTTCAAACTCTTTGTACCCTTCTTTTAGAGTATCCAAAGAGTCAAATACAACGGCTGCTCCCTGTCCTATAGCAGCTTTTTCACAGTTTGCATCCCACAGCCACAGCTCAACCAAATAGTCCCTTAGTCCCTAAGCCATTTTCCTTTCTATCTTTAGCTTTCAAGCCATCCCAAGCCACATAGTGATTTAAACTAGCAATAAGCATATTTTGAAAACTAATTTATTTGCATTGTCGTCTTCTGCTTGAACTAGATTGTTTCCATTGATTTCCTTCTCGATAATCTTCATCTGGAGATCATTCAAGCATCAATAACTAACCATCATCGTGAAAATCATATTCATCGTCTTTGATTTGAACAAGCAAGCTTTATGAGTGAGACTAATCTATATGCAAACCCTCATGTCTCATCTTTAATCTCAACACACTTGCTTGCCAATTCATCAATCATATGATTTAAAATACATATTGCATGTCATGACTGCTTCACACTAGAGACAAATTGATATTCATCAAGTCATGTTTCTTTTGAAATTCTCAACACATGCTTGTCATTTATGCAATTCAACATACAAACTTAGACTCAATTTTCATTTATATCTTTCACTTAATACAATCGCACGAATGGCACTACCATGGCGCCCAAAGGCTACCACATCAAAGTTGGGTCTCTCCAAGCGTGTCAGTGCATTTTCGACTATCATAGATAGGGACAAACACTACATGTCTTTGATGTGGTTGCCTGTAATCGTAGACTCAGGCTTCTATAGACTCGTCTGTGATGTAAGTAATATCAGAAACGGAAATAAACGATAGCCATCTCATATGGTGCCAAATATCATGGATGGCTTCTTACTTAATAATCGTTTGTGATGTATGTAATATCACAGACAGGTCTTGTTGAACCCCATCTAAGAGTTGAAGTCTGTCTATGATAAGAGGTGACCTACCTGGGGAAGCCGATATATAGGAGACGCATATATATAGTTAAGCCATGTCTCTAATTAGTTATTAGAGACATGCACTATTGGTCTGTCTCTGATGTAGTGTCTTCTTCGTATATGTTTCTAGCATAGTACAAGAGTTCTGTGTTCTCTAGTGGGGGAGTCAACTCATAAGCTGACAACTCATTCCACGAGTCGCTTTCCATGCCTCACAGATGAAACAGCTAATGCAGTGAATCGTGGTACTTATCACTTGATTATGATTTTTTATGGAAATCGTAGTACACACATGCATGGGCCGTTGCCATCTT